CTAACACCTATACAGTCCTTAAACCTGAGTGATAGTACTCTTCAATATTGGTCCTTCGAGCCGGATGTCTGGTATCCTGGACCTCAGGATGCAGCCTAATGTAAGAGCCAGTGAATCCACACGCCCCAAGCGGAGTGTCCAACCGCCTTCTTACCTGGAGGACTATGATGTGAGCTACCCCAGAGCACTGTGCATTAGTGCAGTGCAGCCTAGAAAGGAAACCACTGAGTGGCCTGCACCAGCTGCAGAGGATTTCTACTCACCTGTATCGTCACAAGCCGCCAGTCCAGTGAGTCAGGATAGATGGTACTATACTGTAGATCAGTGGACATCATCCTTGCTTGAGGACACTCATCCAGAGCAGCCAGCAGGAGCCATTGGTGGGTTACCTTACTCATCCTCTTATCAAAGACGAAGGGAGCCTTTCCCACCCCCTCAGTCATCACGTTGGAACCTGCCTCAACCTTCTGGTGCAATCCCAAGTCAGTCAGAAGACCTTCCACCTTCTATTGCACCGAGACGGCGCCTTCCTCCACGTGATAATGCACCAAGTTATGACAACACTCAAGGTAATCAGTGGCCCCCCAGTATAACTCCTCCTGCATTGTCTGCGGTCAATCAGGCTTCTATGATTGCTAAACTGGATAATTTGATGGCAGAGCTAAGACTTTTAAAGGAGCAGTCTTCAGTGCCCTCACGTCCTCCTCCTCCCAGTCAAATGAGTGTTAGACAATATTACGGCCCTCCGCTGCCACAGACAAGAGTGCACCCCTCAAATGACTACAGTGCGCATAGATCCCTACCACCACAAGGGGACGCCTATACACCACTGTATAGGCCAGATGCTACTGTCAGATACAGTGCACCACACAGATATCAAAGTCAAGGTCCAGCTATGCAGCAGGATCAGTCATTTATGTCACAAGAGAGGACATACAAAGGCCCTACTCCCTCCATCCCAAACTTCACCAAAAGAGACCCAGGTGAATTTGCCCGCCTGAAAATAGCTCTTAATAATCTGCTCCCAGAAGACAACACTGAACCATTCAAGTTTCAATTCCTGATGGATCACTTAAAGCTGGAAGATGCTCGTCTAATAGCTGATGCCTACCTTAACTCTCCTATGCCCTATACAGACACTATAGCAGCTTTGACAGAGAAGTTCGGCCAACCTCATCAGCTGGCCTTACAGAAAATAGCCAATGTTATGGATTCTCCAGACATCAGAAGAGGAGACACAGAGGGCTTTGAGAGGTTTGCACTACAGATTAGGGCACTTATGGGCATGCTGCAGACCCTGGGCCAAGAGGGGGAGATAGAGCTCAGATGTGGGTCCCACGTGTCACGCCTCCTCAGTAAACTCCCTGCTGAGATGAGATCAGAGTTCCACAGTGACATGTGCCGCCGCTCCAATGCAGTGTATGACTTGGTGGAATTTTCCGAATGGATACAGGTAGACATGGTGCCAAACAAGTGATGGACAAAGGGGGAATTATGGTCATAAAGAGAGAGCCCCCCCAAAGCCAGACCATCGTCGTGATTCAAAGCCAGTTCCACGTTCTACTACTCTACTGCTTGGCGCAGAAGATGTCCCTCCTCAATCGGAGAGTGTCAGCACTGAACAGACAAATAAGAAAGGTAAAAATGCACCTAAAGCCTATTGCCCCTACTGTGACACTGAAGATCACTTTCTAAGCCAGTGCGCCACCTTTAAGCGTTTCGACAAGGCCCAAATGATTGACTGGATCAAAACTAATAAACGCTGTTGGCGCTGTGGGAGATCACATCAAGCTGCACAGTGCAACTTTAAGAAACCCTGCAGTAAATGTCAAGGTAAACACCTACTCATACTACATGAGGTTAACAACAGAGAACTAAAGGAAGGCACCTGCTTGGTCAGCTCAGCCGCTGAAACGCTCTTCTTGGACAAGCCTTCTGACCCTACCCGTGTCCTCCTTAAAGTTATCAGAGTGCTGCTGCGAAATGGAGACAAGACATTAGACACGTATGCGGTCCTAGATGATGGATCGGACCGTACAATGTTATTGACTGCTGCAGCCCAACAACCGGAGGTGACAGGTACTCCAGAGGACATATCCCTCCGAACAATAAGACAAGATATCTAAGTACTACATGGTGCCTCTGTTTCCTTTGAGATATCTCCTACTCACCAGCCAAAGAAATCCTATAAGTTCACGAATGCTTTCACAGCTCAGCGCCTAGGTCTAGCTGAACATTCCTATCCCATTGCCACCTTAAAGAAGAAGTACAAGCACTTGTCCAATCTACCTCTACAATCCTTCAGCTGTGTTTCGCCATTGCTGTTAATTGGCGCAGACCACCCACACCTCCTGTGCCCTATAGAGCGGGTACGTCTCGGCCCTCCAGGAGGTCCAGCAGCCATCCACACCCGCCTAGGATGGACTCTGCAGGGGCCAGCAAGAACTCTAGAGTCACAGTTACCCCCTCAGCAGTGCCTCTTCACGTCACTCAGCCCAGAAGCCATTGAACTAAAGCGGAATGTTGAGAAGCTGTGGCAGGTGGACATTCTCCCCTTTAGAAATGAGAAAGAGGTCACTAGATCCCGAGATGACATTGAGGCAGTGAACCTTCTCCAAGCCAAGACTGAGAGGGTGGAGGTGAACGGGATACTACGGTATGCTACACCCCTTTTGAGGAAGAAAGATTCGCCTCCTTTCCAGGCCCCTAAAGAAGCTGTGCTGCCAAGCCTTAAGAGCATGGAGAGACGCATGGCACGAGACCCCAATAAGGCAGCAGCTTACAGCACAGAGATGAAGAAGCTTGAGAACGCAGGTGTGGTAGCCAAACTCAGACCAGAAGATTAGAATGAGAGCAGTGAGAGCTGGTTCATACCTCATCACATGGTCCAGCATAACGGTAAAAACATAATTGTTTTCAACTGTTCATTCAGCTACAAGGGGCTCAACCTAAACGAGTGGTTACTACCTGGACCTACCCTGAGCCCATCCCTGGTCGGAGTGCTCCTTCGCTTTAGAGAACAAAGCATCGCAATCAGTGGGGATATCAAAGGAATGTTCCATCAGGTGCGTTTGTTACCTGAGCCTTGTCAAATTAGGACGCCGTCAAGAGAAACACTGGGGTATCTTGTTCAAGTGCCTCACAACAAGGGCTGTCCATATTGACCTCCTGTCCTCAATCGATACGGACTCCTTCTTGATGGCCTTCAGGAGATTCATTGCCCGTCGGGGGAAACCAGCTGAAGTGTACTCGGATCAAGGTACAAACTTTAAAGGAGGTGAAAGGGAACTCAGAGAAGCCTTCACTCAAATGTCTACTGACCTCCAAGCACAACTAGTCAAACAGCAGGTCAGTTTCAGACTCAACCCACCAGCAGCTCCACACTTTGGAGGTGTGTGGGAAAGAGAGGTGCGGTCCATCAAGAATGCCCTGTACACCATCATCGCTTCACAGAGTGTCAAAGAAGAAGTGCTCAGAACGGTCCTATTCGAGATTGAGGGCATTCGGAATGCAAAGCCACTTGGCTATATGAAACATAGCCGAGTGTAGATCCTGTGACGCCCAACTACCTTCTGATGGGGCGGCCTGACAGCTCCTTACCACAAGTGGTTTACCCTGAGAGTGAAATGCGGGGAAGACGAAGCTGGAGGCACTCACAAGTCCTGGCAGATCATTTCTGGTTTGCATTTATCTGAAACTACTTACCTAGCCTCCAGACCAGAAGCAAGTGGAGAGCCCCGGTGGACAACATCAAGGAAGGAGCTGTGGTTCTACTGGCAGACCCTCAGATTCCTCGTGGACAATGGAAAATTGAACAAGTCATCAGAGTTATGCCTGGACCAGACGGCCTGATCAGGACAGCAGAAGTGAAGATCGATGGCAGGACCTACATTCGACCCATAGTGAGACTAATTGTCCTTCCAGAGATGAAGGATGAAGATGGACTAACCACCTCCTGATTAGACTGCCTTTCAGGTTCGGGGCAGCTATGTTAGAAAGGCAGTAGCTTTGTCAGGAGCGCCCTCTAGAGGTGCTGTGAGTTAATGCATGCTTTAGTTCAGAGCGCACGGCCCCGCTGTCTTAATTGGTTTACGAGGCTCGGGCGTGCAGACACGTATCGTCAGCTAAAGTTGTGCGTTGTTGACAAAAAGTAAGTTTATGGTATTCGGAGCTATATGGACATTTTACAAGTCCTTTGTTATTGTTTTACGCGTGTCGGGATGTGTTCATATTCCTATAATACCTGTGTAGTTATGTTTATAAGGGAGCTTAGAGTATCTTAGCCGCTAATGCTATTTTCGTGTGTCGTGCCGTGTATGTTCCTTATAGTTATGTCTTTATTGTGTGCTTTTTATTTAGCCCATCCATGTTTGCTGTTTATGTTTGTTATATACTTAGTAGTACACTTGTACACCTTTTACTTTATTACTGTAATACGGTAACTTAATTTGTTTATTCTTTTTCTTTATAGACCACACATACAACCAATAATGTTCTGCGATGTTGCCTGAGCTTCATTAAACCTCCTAAATACACCATCTGCAAACTGTCTCCTGTGTCCTTACCGGCACTCCAGGGCGAATATCACAATCCGAGCTAACACCTATACAGTCCTTAAACTTGAGTGATAGCACTCTTCAATAATAGTAGTTTTTGTGGTTTAAATCTGCTCTTAGGTTATTGCATCAGTGGCATAAATTGGTTTTAATATCTTCGTTAATAGTCTATAATTTCTTCAGCAATATATCAATTGTTGAAGCAATATCAAAATATTTTACAGTGACAGGCCTACCATTAGCTACCATTACCTACAATGACAAGTCTAACCACATTTATGAGCGAATAAATGACCTCTGATCACATAGTTGTCCAGGGCATCCTCCATCTTTGCCAAGGCTTCCGCTCGGGTTGCACCATATGTCACCAGCTACAATGGATTGCAATTAAAAAAGGAAATTTTGAAAAGAATTGTGCTGTTTAAAATTGAAAAACAGAAAACTAACCTTGGATATCATTGGGTCATAGTAGATGCTGATGTCACTGCCCTCCTGAATGCCACTGTCAACACGCACCTGAGGACATAAACAACACTTAATGCGCTTTATTGACATAATCAAATTGAGTTGGGAATACCCAAAAAGAAAAAAAAGTACTTGCATTGCTGAGGTTGAGTGGTTCTTGGTATTGAGACAAGCGCCCAATTGATGGCAATCCAAAAGACTTATATGGATCCTGGAGAAAAGACATCATATAGCATTTATTCATATCTAGTATTTGTATTTGTTTGATTTCATTACCTCTGCGTAAACACGGCTCTCAATGGCCCATCCGTTAATAGGGATATCCTCCTGTTTGTGATGGAGCTGGAAACCTTTGGCCACACGGATCATCTGCTCCACCAAGTCCAAACCAGTAATGCACTCGGTGATGGGGTGCTCCACCTAGAGGCAGTTTAGTATGTAGCAGTCATTACTGTAATTGCCACCATTTCTGTCTTTTATAGTGTTGTCAGAAGATTGCCATACAGATATTAAAATTAGACTCTAAACTAGATACTCATTCCACCAGGTGTAGCTCAATCTCAACCTTTTTTCTGAAGCAGTAGAACCACATAGTGAAATGAAAGAAAATGATATTTTTTTTGAAAGCTGTATAATTAAATAAAGGTTATTTTGAAAATAACAGTGGAAGACCTCTTTGATAACATTTTTATTAGAATATGGAGCCAGATGTTTAAGGACTTTTTATGATTAAGCTTTTTCCTTGGTATCAAAATAAAAACAAACAGTTAAGGGATCACACCTGTAGACGAGTATTCATCTCTAAGAAGTAGAAGTTTTTGCTGGAGTCCACCAAGAACTCCACGGTCCCTGCAGAGGAGTACTTCACTGCTTTGGCCAACTGCACAGCCTGCTCCCCCATTGCTTTACGGGTTTGAGGGTCCAGAAAGGTACTGCACACAACACACATCATGGGTCTTTGGCTACATTTACATGGCTAGAAAAAAAAAAAGATTTTCATCCTTTACATTTTTGTTTTTACAAACTACATTTGCCTTTTTACTATATTTTCCTGTTTTTCCTTCTTGTGGAGAGTGAATAAGAAAGAAAACACAATACTGAAGTTTGTTTTGTTTACATTCCATTTGAAGAATTTAACAACTCCAGAAATCAGTGACAGATTTCTGGTGTGTATGTAAATATACCCAGTGTTCAAAGTAGGGATGCATAGACACCGATATAGATACCAGGGTAGAGACAGAAAATTGTACATATTTCCTTAAAACACAGGTAACTTGAGCTGATATCAGCAAATTTCAACATAATTGTGCATGTGTGATGTGCACGTGTGCAGGCAGACCTGGGAGCCTCCTCGACCACTTTCTGGTTCCTCCTCTGAATAGAACACTCCCTCTCGTTCAGCCACAGTGCATTTCCATGTTTGTCTGCCAGCACCTGTAACAAAAAAGTTAAATAGTAACTCATACTCAAGCTCAAATCTCACTGCGTGTGCTAATAAATTGTAAGTACTAGATAAATGGTCAGAGATCATACAAAATACAACACAGTAATCATGGGGTTGAATGAATAAAGACCATATGGTTGAATTACACAGTCTGTGCAGCTCTTTCAAATGAAAACAAATCATGCTTGAACTCCTTCATTACTGAATAATGAATTATTAGCAAATACATGGCACCCTTCAGTTAATTTGTTTGTAAATAAAGGATATCTGAATATCGTGGTTACATGGCAGTTGAGTGGTTGGCTGCTTTTGCGGCTACCTGGCTCACACACTGAGCAGTTTTTGAAGGTTTTTGTTTTTTTTAGCTCAGTAATTAACATCATATCATGGAATCCAAACTAACTAAGAAGTGCAGCATGTGAAGTTCAAAGGACACAAGAAAGCAATTGTTGGATTTTGTGAAATGAGCTGTTTGTTTTTCCCGTATCCACGGAGATTGCAAGAGGCTAGCTAAGGAGCTAGCTATGGGCATTTGAGATGCTACAGACTTATTATATCATATGAGCAAATGTGTCAGAGCACCTTCCAGAACAAACAATTTGAGGGAATGAACTATTTCATTACCAACCAAAACACCAGTGAGGAGTAAGAACAGGGCCTTTCCTGTTGTGTTCACCTTGTTTCCCTCCTGGACACTGCTATAATGCTGCAGGACACAGAGCAGGGACACTTTTGGCTCTTCCTCTCCACAAACTGCCCTGACACAGGATCTGGTGACCCTACCTGGCCAGTTCTCCTGTTAAACTGCACTGAAACCTTTGACTGAGACACAAAGGCAACTGAGAAGCGCAGTATAAATGCTGCAGCAAAACTTGAATTTCCCACGGGATCAATAAAGTCTCTTGCTCTCCATTTGATAGCTTTATTACAAAAACATGCATTTTACCTTCTGTAAATTCTTGTACATGAACAATACAGCAATGTAGTTACCTGTATCTCAATGTGCCGAGGGTTGTCAATGTACTTCTCTATAAGGAGTCTATCATCTCCAAAGCTGGATGCAGCCTCCTGAGATGAGAAGCGAAAGCCTTCTCTGGAACAATCAAATTATTGGTATTGTAATATTGGTGAGGAAAACTTATTATTTTAAAGACAAATCTGCAATTTCATGATTTTATGTTTCATTTATAAGCAACCACAGGGAAATGAAACCTGAATGTTACAATAAACAGACTGAACATGACCTACAATCTCACCAATTAAAATACCATGACCATATATTTTAACTAATATGAATGACACCTACAGTGGGTTGTTTAAACTTACCTGGTCTCGTCATCATTCCAGGCAATCCTCATCCCTTTACCTCCTCCACCGGCTGATGCTTTGATCATCACTGGATAACCTGTCAAGCCATTCAAACTGTTAGATTAACATACATGTTGAACCATTATACAACTTGTTGATTAAACACAAAAAACAACTTTGCAAATTCTTAGATGCATTCAATATGATTTTGTTTACCAATACTCTGAGCAATTTTGACAGCATCCTCTGCAGTCTGGAAAAGAGAATGTGGAAGATTTATGCACATAAGACTAAATAAAAACAGTGTGCTAATGTTCATGTATTTAGAATGCTCATGTACCTCAACTACTCCATCAAAGCCTGGAATAGTGTTCACTTTGGCTGCTTTTGCAATCAGCTTACTCTCTATTTTGTCCCCCATCGCCTGAATAGCATGCGTGTCTGGGCCAATAAAAGTGACACCCTCTGCCGCCTATACAGCCATATAAATTCATATACACAGACACACACACACAGACATAAAAGGACAGGAACCTCTTCAATTTCATTCAGTATAAATAGGGATAACATTTATCACAAACTAGTAGCCTTTGCACTTACGAGTCTTTTTGCAAACTCTTTGTTTTCAGAGAGGAATCCATATCCAGGATGAACCTAGAAGAATGGTGCATAGTAAAGTGATCTCATCAATTTTGGGTTGTGGGTGTTTACTTTGAATAATTTCAACAATTCATCTTACTGCTTGTGCTCCTGTGGTTCTAATAGCTTCCATAATAGCATCCATGTTCAGATAACTTTTACTAGTAGGGGCAGGACCAACACATATAGCCTCATCTGCCATCTTCACATGGACCTGGCCAAACACGCAAACATGTTACACACAGTACGAGACAAAGTAATAAATATCTTATAAATATATGATCAACAATGAGTTCTTTAACTGCAGTATAGAGACTCACAGCACTGGAGTCAACATCACTGTGAACTGCTACTGTACGGATACCCATCTTCTTACAAGTTTTCATCACCTAACACAAAACAATAGAAGTCATGAATATGTAGAATTAATTTGACCCAAATCATAGTCTGTACATTAATCTTACCCTGCAAGCAATCTCTCCTCTGTTTGCCACCAAGATCTTATCAAAGGTCTATAAAGTGAAGAAATTACATAATTATTAGTTAACTTCTTATTACTTCACGATGTTCTAAAACCATGTCATTCATTTAACCACATAGTATTTCACTTAAATATTTGACAAGTAACTTCAGTCACCAAGATGGTCATCCCTGCTATGACATAAGCGTAGAGAGTGAGTGCAAAGTAAAGGTACCTTCTCATTAGGGTTGTACACAGTAGAGTACTGCGTCCTGCCATGAAGCGTGCACAGTCTAGACTGGAGTGGGACATGCTGGAAACAGAACAGTGCTCAATATACAGAAATTCATGTTCACGCAGGCTACAGCCCCCTGCGCACAATGCATGTCAGCTCTGGTACACTCAGGTGCGCACCCCTGCCACAGAGCTTCCAGTGTGCGACCTTTTACACCGCGAACTGGACTGAAGCCTACAACTTCTAGATCTAATTATAATCATCGTGCATAGTGCTGGATTTCAAGAAACACAACATCCTTCTTTTAATATGTAATATGACTAGATCAATGTGGGTACTATAATGCGCTCACCTTCGCAGCAAATAGTATCCTGCTCAGAGACGGACAGCGGCTACGGGACGCCATGATGCCACACTGCGACAGTTGTGTCGACTTACGACTTTTGTCAATGATCTGACATCATCACGTCGTACGTTAGATTATCTTCATTCTGTGTCAGACTATCATCCCATAAAAAAGCCTGGCAGCATCTACAGCAGAAACTATGGCGTGAAAAATGGGATTAATATGGTGAACATAGTTTTTTTTTTCAACTTGATGTTATTAAACTGAACCCAATTATTATTTAATATCCAAGTACCTGATGGATGCATAATCCTGGCCTTGTTTACAAAATATTCTCTTTAATACATAACAACAGTGACTAGCACAATCTTCAATACAACAACAAAATTTTATTTTCATTCAGTTAAACAAATGAGATATGCGTTAGTGATGTGCCAATATTCAGAGTGAGGCTGTGCTGCAGCCTCTTGCACCACCTTCACATTCACTACACACACAAATATGGCATCAGTCGTTTCACTTATGGCATCCAAATCAATCAGATGTTGTTGCCCCAGAAAAATGAGATGGAGGAATCCCACTGGAACGGCAGTCACGTCATTAACACCAGTGAAAGTTTGGAATTCATTTGAACAAAGTGCTTATGAGATCGAACAGAATCACCACTCATTTTGTAAGACTCTGAACCTCTGTACACTCAGGCCCAGGTTGTTCACCTTATATAGAATATTATATATTTATATCTCTGTATTTCCCCTGTTTTCTGTACGACATAACTGACTGCTGTCTGAACATAGTGATTTAAGATTCTGTTTCTACCTTTATTGTAGAGATTCAAGAAAACAAGTACAGTCCCATTAAAGATCAGAAGTGCTCTGAAAAGTAAACTCACTATTTAACACAACATCAACTGAAGAAATATTTATAATACAGACTGCACAAACTGAAATCCAAGTTCAAAATGGTTGGCCAGTCAGAATGAAGCATAGATCACAGTGTGGGTTGACCATGGAAATTCAAGACTCCAGTGAACACTTATCTGAAGAAACATTGGAAGTTATTGTTTGAGCAATATTAAATAAATATTGCATATATTGTGCAGCTCACATCATTTTTTTTCTTATTTCTGAGTCATGCTCTGAGACCTCTGCAGTATGACAGTACTTCTTCAATTGACCACTAGTCTCATTGTAAAGTGCTGTAGTTCAGTCATGCTAATCCCCATTTATCTATAAGAACAATTGTTCAAGTTCACCTAACACTGGAAGGGCTTTATAAACTGAGCACTTAATTTTAGTGAGATTTGACTTAAACACAGAAATCCACCCTGTTAAAGTGGCGGTAAACCATTAGTGTGTGGCAGTATTGTCACCAATACACAGTTTTAGATTTTAACCTTTGTTGCTACTCAGAAAACAGTAGAGAAGCTGACACCGTTCTTGTGAATCATCAGAGATTTGTGGTTTGTCTACGTCACAAACACTGTTGCTATAGGTTACTGAAACACATCACAGTAGGTAGTCACTACCTGGATTCATTCATTCATCTTCCACTGATGTAAAGGTCCATTTCCAATATAAATGTTTTCATCAAGAGACACTCCCGATTGATGGAACAAAGTGCTACATATTGATCTAATGTCCACTGTCCGTGAGATTGTTTTGTCCTGTGTCTACTGCAATTTCTGTCCCCATGTCTCCCTGAGCACTTTCTGATCTCTACAATACAGGTAAAGACAGGTTTCTTCTGTCAGAGCTCAAACTCTTACCACAGCCTTTAGAGTAGCCCTTAAAATAGTTGGAAATAGAAGGAGCTGTCACCGGTCATATACTTTACATGTACTTTTGAATAAAAATATTAGTTGAAGGACCTCTGGTGTCTTTTGAGCTGGGAGTCTGGATTCATGTCAAATGACACTCTAAGAATATAAAACAGAAATACAAAAACAACCATAAAACTGCTGGTTCAGGAAAGTACACCAATGACTCCTGTGTCCTGAAATGTATCGTACAATAACGATATGACAACATCTGAGCATTGGTAAGCCTGCTTTGCACAGAGGTGTGTTGTGGCTCACTTTAGTACAGTACTGCTGAAATTGTGACAATTTAGGAAAAAACTAAGAACAGAAGCTCTCCTTTTGTTGGTCACACATCTGATCATGTTCTTCCTTAAACACAGGAGAAACATGAATGGTTCATTATATATTTTTTTTCCCAAAATATTATTTGGCTTATGTATGGTGGTGGTACCCAGTGCCTGGGGCCCTTCTTGGGGATAACAGAAGTTGAATATCAGGTGTTTTAGCTCTACCCTGCATCTTATATAGAAGACTAAATCATGTAGCACCAGTCACAGTGGGATATGAGGTTCCATGTAGGTGTTGTACACTCCTCATTTTCCAAAGTACTTTATACCAAAATGAGCCACTCAGTCCTAGGCAAAAACATGGCCCCTGCCCATGTGTCCTACGTGCCATACTCCTCGTCGTCACTGGGCTCCAGTTTGATGCGGTCTGGGTGGAGCAGAGGAAAGTGCGGCGCTGTAGTCCTGGTGCACACGTACCACTCCTTTATGTTGGAGAAGTGAGGTATGGCGGGGTTGACAGAGCGTTGAGTGCGGCGGGGCTGGCGGCCCTGCTGCTGCTGGGCCCTCCTCAGGCCTGACAGGGACAGGTCCAGAGGGACAGCGCTCGGGGACACACTCCGGAACAGAGCTTTATGGTCAGTCTCTGCCACAGAGCTTTTGTCAAAGTCGTGATTAGAGCGCAGAGGGAAGTGGAGATTCCTGTGTGCCATGGGGGGAGACAGGCTCATTTTGAGGTCTAAGGGTTCCAGCAGGGCTGGGGGCTGTTGCAGACGATAGGACAGAGGGTCGTATGGGTCTGGCAGTTCAGAGGTAGGTGAGGACTTGACGTGCACCTTCATGTGTTTGCGAAGGGAACTTGGATGGGTGTAGGACTTGGTGCAACCCAGAGCCTTGCAGTCATAGGGCTTAGAGGCCGTGTGCACCTGAGAGTGCTTCTTACGGTCACTGCTGTTGGCAAAGCGCCGCTCACAGAACTCACACTGGAACGGCTTCTCACCTGTGGATGAGGAAACATCACTAAGGAGGTTTAAAATAAAGTGTTTTAGCATTGCAAATAAAAGGTTCCCTTAATAACAAGGTATTATGATAGTGTAATTTAATGTTAATGAGAGATATATTTCCAGGTTTTTCCCTGGCTACAAACAATGGCATAAAAAACTGAATGACAGAAAAGTTATGCATAGGTTATGCTCTTAAACTTAATACAGCAACATGTCTCTCAGGGAGACTGACATTACAAAGGAAGGTTGCTCCTACTAAAAAAAGACACATGATAGGTAAATTGTAACTACCCTCAAGGGGGTAAATTGTAACTACCCTCAAATGACCAACAGCCCAACAGTAGGATGGACTAAGGCCCATAGTTATTACGGTAGATATGCACACCCCTCAATAATAACAGTATAAAATTGTGAATGGTTAAATTTCCCACACACAATAAGTGTGGTCTTTTTTGTAAAAGCAGTTTTTTGTATTCTTTCTGTCAAGAGGAGATCAAAGGTGTCCTGTATTGTAAAAATATGGACTCATTTTAATTGTTATTGTCTCCTCTGCTATTGTTAATGCTAAATTATGAAAGCTCCTTTATCTAGACCAGTACAGGTTTTACTATGTTACGACACCTTTATTCAGGTTTGGGAGCCTATTGGTGTTAGAACTGATAAATCTATCTGAGCCAGAAATCAGAATATTTCATCAGAAAGACTAGGGCCAAATTCAGCCCCTGGGCCATGTAGTTTGGACATCCCAGATCTAAAGCTAGACTATTACTCAAGACAACCCCCACATGATGTTAACTCTAAGAAACTACCCTAAAACTTGCCACTAAGAACAGCCGTGTGACACCTTTTATCCATATGATCTAAGGCTAGGCTGTGTAAATATCCACTGTTAAAACATGAAACAGTAGTGCGGGGTCCTCCTCCGTGGTGTCCTATTCGGGGCTCCCCGAGGTGCCGAGGGAGCAGTGCAGGGCGGATGTGATTGAGTGCACTGATCTGTGTTGTAAACATGGAGGAGGGTTTCACTGGGAATAATCGGCCAAACACGGGCTGAGACCCCCTGCCAGGACCCCCGCTGCTAGCCTTCTAACCTGACAAAATGACAAAATGGTGACAGCCTACCCGTATGGGTCCGCGTGTGGATCTTGAGGTTCTCTGAGCGCGCGAACATCTTGCCGCAGTTGGGGAAGGCACAGGAGAAAGGCTTCTCCCCGGTGTGCACGCGGATGTGGTTGATAAGTTTGTATTTGGCTTTGAATGCCTTGCCTCCGCGCAGACACTCGTCCCACATGCACACATGACTCAGGCTCTCGAGCCCGGCCGCTACGTGCTCGCTGGTGACGTGCTCCACAAGCTCGTGCATGGAGCTGAAACTTTGGTCGCAAACGGATGTCGCCGTCCGCCCAATCTGTCGAGAACTAGTTCGGTCTATCCATTTGCAAACGAGCTCGGTTTTGATGGTGGGGCCTTTAGAGAAATCCAGTAGCCCGTCTACCGCTCCCCCGCCGCCCCCACCGCTCTCTGGACCGACGGAGACCGTGTTTGCTCTCAGAAACGTCGGGGAGACGATGCTCGAGGCCCCGGAGTTGTTGTTCCCCAGCGGAGAGACCAGGCCATTGTGCCTGGCCACTCCAGCCGCCCGCTTCATGCTGTGCTCGGCGGGCTGCCCCGCTCCGGTCCCGCTAAAAGGATCAGTGCCACGTCAAATGTGTGCGGTGGTGTCACAGAAAGAGCCCAGCCGCTGTCCCCCTCCTGGACGCGTGTTTTGGTGAAAGAATCAGGCGCATGCGGCGTCTCTACCCCCCGCTGGCTCTGTTAGATCCCGAGAGTCAGACCTCCATGCTTTTATTTACTGTGAATGGAGGAACAGAGCAGGCCGCGGCCCCCCACCGCAGAGGGGCGTCCTTGTCTCCTCTCTTCCTTCTCCCATTCCCTCTGCTCCTGTTTGTCAATCTGTGCCCACTGCCCACCCAAAGCAAACTAGTATGACACTAGTCGTTAGTTGCAAGTTAACTCGACAATAACCATGTAATACCTTTATGTGCTTTGTGTATGAAATGGTCACCAGGTTACTTAAGCTTAGACTTTTACACCAACTTGACAAGACCAAAATTTTATCTCCAGCAAATTGCCTACTTGAGCGCATACAGCCACATGTGAAAGTTTCCATGAGATAGATGCCATTACCTGCATAATCCTCTGAAATGTGTTATCCTTAAAATCTGTACAATAATCCATACCTATCACACTAATTTAAAAATAGATCAATAGTCAGAGTGCAAAACTGTCCCATGCAGACAAATCAGCTTTTTATAGGTTATTATAAGCTCAAACAACCAAATGTGAATTACAACACAAAAACAAAAAATGTGCCTCTGGGAAATCATGATGTTGTTTGATTAGCCTACATTTTTTTAATTTTACATTTCAATCATTCCAATTAGGGTATGTTGAATAATATGTATGTAATTTGTGGCTCTTTGCCTGCAAGTCAGAAGATAAAAAAACAGAGAACAAGCAAATGTATGTTTATGCCATACAATTGAACATAACATAAAGCAAAGGAGAATGCTCTATAAGCAATTGTTCAGTCCTGAGACTCAGACCACTAGAACAGTCATTATATTATTATATTATTATTAAATCATTATTATTTTTGCTATAACATGCCAGAGCTTTTCTGATAATTACAGGCTGTTTCAGAACAGGCTAAGCAACACAGGGCCATTATTTTCTTAATGGTTAGCCAAGTATTACTAAGCTCATTGTGAACACATGAAAACATTCATATTAAATGATCAAAGAGAAAGTGATCTTCATAAAGAATTATGCTGATTTTTGTTAAACAAAAGGCAGGGGTTAGTACAGGGCTGGAGAGTGTTCAAACAGCGGAGCATCACACGCTTTTAAGTGACTTCTACTTAAAGATACACCGAACAACTTTTCTGGTGGAGGGTCTGCTGCCTTGTCTCCTTGGAGATGCTATTGCTTTGCCTGGAACATTCCATGGTATGACATTAATCATCTATAATATCTATCTAGTATTTATTCATACAGGTGTTTTTATTGCTTAAAAATACAATAATTAATTATATGAAATGGGGCAATTTTCCACACATCTGAATTGTAATGTAGCGTAATGCTCTAACGTGCTTGTCTTTCTTGTGATTGAAAGACTTAATCTACACTGGTGGTATACATTCTAAAGAAAGCAATAATATTTCCATGGAGACAAGCAGATGACGGATTCTCCATTTGAAATGTTACTCAGTGCACCTTTACCTATTTGCATGTTTACTCAAAATAGTATTTTTATTATTATTTTTTTTTTCATTTTGTTTTTAATTTGCTTTAAAGAAGCTGATTTCAGTTATGACGAATTTCTCAGGTCAGTAGGGGAGGACCATAAAGGACAGTTATTATCATATTAGTGTTATCTAATTCTTCCCTGATCTCACATGATTCATCTATGCAGGTTTTATTGAAAATCCAATTCTTTATTTTATTTTCAATCCAAACTAAAATTCGCATTATGAGATGGAATAGTTTCAAGAAAGTCCCAGCACCTGTAGCCTATAGATGGAAGAGGGGATTCTTCGGAAAAATGTGATGACCTTTTTACACAGGACATGGCCAAAGTGGAATTTGCTGTTTAACTCAGATTGAGAATTTGTTAAACTGATTCATGATCAGTTTTTCTGGAATTACTGGTCCTATGAAACATGAAACAAAACTAGTAATAGTTTCAACAGCTTTTTTGTCAGTGATAAATAGAAATGAACACTCCTATTTAACCTCAGAGATGTGATTCTTGTCAGTTGAGAAAAACTCAGAACAGAGGCACCCTCATCATACAAGATAATCATGCTGCAAATGGGCACGATGCATTTCACAAACTAAGTTTTTGTTTTGCGAATTTTAAGTCTCAAGTCTCTGACCTCAAACTCCTCAAAGACAGGCAAGTCACAAGAAGTCAGTGTCTTACAAGTCCAAGTCAAGTCCCAATTCATATGGTTAAAAGAGCCCATATTACACTATTTTCTAAATTATGTTTTAATGTTGTTTCCTCATCACAAACATACCTGGAGTTGTGTTTTGTTTCATTCACACATGTTTAATACACAAACACTACATATATAGGCCAAGTTCTTCTCTCAAAGAGAAAACACTCTGTTCCACCTTGTGGTGTCATATAGTAAAAGGTAGCTGTTTTTTTGTCTATATATATATATATATATATATATATATATATATATATATATATATATATATATATATACACACACACACACACACGCACACACAAACACACGCACACACACACACACACACGCACACACGCACACACACACACGCACGCACGCACGCACGCACGCACACACACACACACACACACACACACACACACACACACACACACACACACACACACACACACACACACAGAAGAAGGCGCGTTCCCCTTTGTTCCTTAGCCGGTGTTGACCAGCAGGGGGCGCTACAGACATACACAAAGACGGACTCACGAAGAAGAACATCTGTGGAGGAAGCGGACGAGAGAAAACAGCTGATGCATGATCTGTGCATGATCGATGAGCTGCAGCTTTAGTTTGTGGATGTAAACATGTAAAAGTGAAGATGTCGGAGGGTGCGGATAGTGCGCTCTCTGTGGCTCAACTAAAAGACATGGACGTGGACGCGGTAATCTCTGCATAATTAGCCTTCTACTCATTTTGCGTCATGGGTCTGAAATTATAGTTGTTATACCTCTATTTACGCTATTTACAGGCCTCCCCTTTATTTCTTGGTGAAGGGACCGATAACTAAACAACTAGAGATACTCCAATCTTCACCATAGCCTCTGATCTATTTGCATTAAAATAATCTAGACAAGGGGCTAGGCCAGGCACATATTCTCTAGGGTTTATTAAACACGGCTATGTTACCATCGACTGACATATAAAGTTCTGTTTTTATTGACGTTTTATGCACTTGAACACGTGGCAAATTCCAGACTTTATTATTTAGACCAATGTGAAGGAATAATCTTGCAATATGTGACTTTTTTTTTTTTATTCCTCTCAGATTGATGATAAGGAATTTGACATTCCTCAGGTGGACACCCCTCCCACTCTGGAGAGCATCCTCAGTGAGGTACACACTCATGTGTCATACAGACCTGCATCCACACATCCATGCTTTTTAGGGACATTACATTGACTTCATGTCATGGAGCCTTATTCTACCCTATTAGCCTATTTCAACCCAGATTTTAACTTCATATGTTGTTGATCAGCCTGTCTTGATAATTACTATATGGGCTTATCATTCAATAAGTGAAAGCTGGAACTGGTTTATCATGTGCACTTTTTGTAGTGTGCAGGTTTCTGCATTTTTTTGTGTATTATGGTTAGATTTGAGCTGCAGAGGGATGAAAAAGCAACTTTCAGCTCTAATTATTGTTTCTTTCTGCTATTTAATTGTAGCTCATGCTTTTTAATGATACTATATTTAAAAATGGCTTACTGGGAATATCTTGCTTTATTTCATATTGTTTCAGTGGCATAAAGTAATTCAAATATCATTGTTACTTGCAGTATATCTCTCTATCAATATATCATGCTTCAAAATTTGTTATTGTGATGGACCTAGTTGATCTAATAAAAGATTTGTGATTGAGACCACCTGTCAATCTCATGCTCTGTCCTCCCCTCACTTGTGAACAAGACCCCAAGATACTTGAACTCCTCCACTTGAGGCAGGGACTCTCCACCCACCCGGAGAGGGCAAGCCACCTTTTCCTGGTCGAGAACCATGGCCTCGGACTTGGAAGAGCTGATCTTCATCCCAGCCACTTCACCCTCGACTGCAAACCGCCCCAGTGCACATTGCAGATCCTGGCTTGATGAAGTGCGGTGCAGCGTCGGCAGTGATGCAGTCACTGTATCGGACCGTTGTGGTAAAGAGGGAGCTGAGCCAAAAGGCAACGCTCTCGATTTACCGGTCAGTCTTTGTTCTTACCCTCACCTTTGTTCATGAGCTCTTGGTAGTGACCGAAAGGACCAGATCGCGGATACAAGCGGTCAAAATGAGTTTCCTCCGAAGGGTGGCAGGGCGCTGCCTTAGAGATAGGGTGAGGAGCTCAGTAACATGAGAGGAGCTCGGAGTAGAGCCGCTGCTCCTCCACGTCGAGAGGAGCCAGTTGAGATGGCTCGGGCATCTGTTCCGGATGCCTTCTGGGCGCCTCCTTCAGGAGGTGTTCCGGGCATGTCCCACCGAGAGGAGGCCCCGGGGAAGACCCAGGACACGCTAGTGGGACTATGTCTCTTGGCTGGCCTGGGAACGCCTCGGGGTCCCCCACGGAGGAGCTGAAGGATGTGTCTGGGGTGAAGGAAGTCTGGGAGTCCCTGCTTAGACTGCTGCCCCCAAAGACCCGGCCCCGGATATGCAGAAGAAAATGGATGGATGGTGATGGAGACCTGACTTTTGTCCCCATAAAGATATAGGTTGTGTATCCAGACCTAGTCTGCACAATGTGATAACCCAGTTCTTTAGACTGGGCTACTTTATTATTTGGGCCTAGTACTTATTGCATGCTGTAGGTATATATCGGGACTCTTTTTTTTTTTTTTTGACAACAGAACATCAGGGGCTGCTTTTTAAATTAAACCATGTCTTTTTAAAAACATTTCTGTGTGTGTTAGCTTGAGGAGGAGGACATTCCCTTTGTGCTGGAGGACACCTGTTTGTTAAACACTGACAACATGGATGCTCATTCTTGTGACACCTCATCTTTGGCCAGCTCGGACAGTGGAGACCCAGCCAATCTCAAACGGCAAGCACCTCAACTCTCACTCACCTCCCATCAAAAGTCTCACCCCTAGTGTCAAAACAAATATAGATAATAAACAGCCAAGTAGTACAAAACACAGTAGTCTATCTTTGCTTAATAAAATGACATATTCTGTTATTTATTGAAACTATCACAAAATTATTATTTTTTAAATAGCTGCAAGTAATACATAGCAGTGGGCGGAAACAGGAGATGGGTGAAGACAAAAATTGCACTGAGCACACAAGCCTTAAATGCTGGACAACACAGTGTTACTCACATGCATGATTGTAATGCGGTTATAAGCTCATAAAAGCAATTTGACATAATTTGTCCTATTAAAATGTCCATTTATACAAAGGCACACAAAACACTTTGCCATTTAAATTTTTACCGAAAGCAATGCAAACTTCTAAAATGATCCCACTAGAGAAGTGGAAATGGTCTTTCAAACTTTCAAATAACTTATTTTGCGTACGTTTTCATTTGTATTTCTGTGCGTGTATAGGAGGAAGAAAACACTGGATGTGAATGCCTCAGTACATGGTTCTGTTCTGAGACACAGTTTGCTCAAAGGCATCTCGGCACAGATTGTCTCAGCTGCTGTAAGGCTCACCTAACTATATTTTGTAACAATTCAATAAGTTAATAAGTTAATACATGTGAACTTTTCTCCAGGACAAAGTTGATGCCGGTCTGCCAACTGCCATAGTAAGTTTGGATTTTATTTCATTAATGTTTAAAAAAATGAGTGGGCAAAAGACTAGAATGGCGTCCATAACAAGAGGGAAAAGTCATGGGACTGAAACCCATACATTTCTAACACAATGTCTTATGGTTTCCACTTGGGGACGCTGCTGAGCTGCTGTAACGCTGCCATCATAGACAAATTGAACTCATTTAGTTGACTGTACTGTCTTCTGTGAACTTACGTGAATAAATTTGATTTTGATTTATATGCACTGATAACACACTGATGTTATAAAAACCTTCATACCAAGTTCTGAATTGTTGTTTGTGTTCAGACAGTGGCGGGTGTCATCGCTGTTGGAACATCACATGGTCTTGCGCTGGTGTTTGGTGAGTCTTAACAGAAATGTGATGTAAAATTATACAACCTATTGTCATAAAAGCAAACCTAGTATAAGCTTTATATAACTTCTAAAATACAAAATCTAGGAACTCCAGATAAGTAAAAGCCGCATGAGGAAAAGTATAGTTAAAGGGCCTTTATTTAAATGGCCAACGCCAACATGTTTCATCAGGGCTTAGCTAGTATCAAATCTATAAACCCACTAACAAAAATGTGTCACTCTTTATAACTTCATAACTGATTATTGCATACTATTACATTATTACATTACTCTGCATAGTATTTAAGCAGTAAGGGGATATATATAAAAATTTAGAGTACTATCACAAGAAGATTCAACTTTTTAAAACTTTGGCAAGGGCTTTAAAAAGGACTTTCTCAGTGCCAGTTAATTTGCATTCATTTAAAGCCCTTCAGCAAAACATTGTAAAATCAATCAATCTTGCTTTCTTACTTTCTTTTTATAAACTAGACAAAGACACATTGGGTGGTGTGAGTTTTAATATTATGGTGTGACATATTTGTGGTAGTTAGTGTGTGCTGAACGCATCAGTACATGCCCATGCCCATGTCGTTAATGTCCACCCGCAGCACAGCCTCCCCATTGTCAGACATGGAGGCACTGACCATGAGGAACTCTCCCTGGAAGGTGACGCTGGAGCCGTCGCCCTGGCCCCTCACAAAATTGTACTCGCTGCTGTTGTACATGCTGTCGTAGAGGTTGTAGTCACAGTCGACTCCCTGGTCAAACACGCCCACAGCACACCAGTTGGAGTAGAGGTCACGGTCATAAGGCACAGAGTACATGACAGCCAGCACCTTACTGCAGTCGTTGTAGTTGTTATTGAAGAGGTCATAGGTGAAGACCCCCACAGCTCCTCTTGCGGCCCCTGTGGTCTTATTAAACATGGCTGATCCCATGGAGCAGGGTCCCACCATAGGGGGTGGGGGGACTTCACAGTGGCCACTCTCGGTGAATACCCTGCAGACAAACGCATAGAAGGTTATCCTTCGTGATGAACGCAGGTCCAACAAATCTGAACAAGACAAACATATCAAAATCAAACTGGAAGAGGAGGGACTTTTAGGAGGAAGTTTAAGACAATTACAGCAGCCACTGAGTTATACAACTAAATGTTACTCATGTAGCATGTTAATGTTGGAATTATTATTAATATAATGTTTTTCCCTGAAAAAGAACATTTTATGTTCTACACCAAGGTTTTGTGGACTCAAACAGAGCTGTTAATGAATCCATACTGATTAAGAAAGGTACACTTTTCAGCCTGAACCACAATTGGAACCCCATATAAAAACTGAAGTGTGCACGTGTTTTACAGCCTGGTGTGGGGAGTGCAGTATACCTTGGGTTGACGAGGGTGAAGTATCCCGAGTTATTGTTGATCTCCACAGTACAGCTGCGATGAGGCATATTGATCTGCTGTTAGACTAAAGACAACACAAGTCATTCCTATGAGTTTTTAGTGACTACAGAATTTGCAGTTGAATTTACTGAATTAGGAGTTTTGACCTAATTGTCCACACCACTAAAACCAAGCATAAGCGCACGACACCCTTATTAAGACAAAAACATAAACCCCACTAGTAAGTAGAAGGCTGATTGTATCCTGACAGCTGCCCAATTGTCTTTCGTCTGCTAATGATCTGTGCTAACAAAATCTCAGTAACTTACATTAACAAATAAATCACGAAAACACAACCACTACAGTCGATTAAAGTGTAACTAGTGCACTATGTTCCACTATTACTACTTTTGAATACTTAATTTCCACACAAAATGATAACATATTTACGCACCTTTCTGTGTTGAATGTCAAAATGGAGTAGCAGTTCTGTTCTCTGGTGAGTAGAGCTCCACTGTGGTGCTGCCTGCTTCACGTAAAACCTCCAACCACTGTAACGGTGTGGTTTATATTGACATTGTTTATCAGCCCATATTTTATCAGCACTGACTTTCCACTGCTCCTGGATCAGCCCACACTTTATCTTCCTGACCACATCACATTAGTGATTTAATCACACACTCTTTGTGAGGCACATAGTATTCATTATTTGAGCAAGGTGTTCAACCAGAAGCACCACATGACCTCGTGTCAACTCTGAATGCAGATCATTCATACAGTTGAATTTTTAGAGACCTCATTCTCACAGTTACCTAAAATTACTACAATAAATCGGTTCTATCCTATATCCGGATATCAGATCACTTAATAATATATATTTTTTATAGATGTAAAACCTTTGTGTGGTTGGTAGTTTTTTAGTAAATTTACATTACTTTATTTGGGGAATATAATAAGAATCTGACCACTGGTTCCTCTGGAGTCTAAACAATTGTATTAGCCATGAAAAAACGATATCAGTCGATCTCTAGTTATCGGCCACAATGGTATGATAAATATTGGATCAGTTTTGGATGGAAAAAACGGCATGGTGGTCCAGTCTAACTGTAACTGATTCCCCCTGATGTCTGCTTATACTCTTTCTGTTTCTCTGCCTGTGCCTGTGCAGCTAAAGGTAGGGCTCTCTCAGAATACTGCTGATGTTCTGGTTTGACTCAGTGTCTCTGTGCATGTGCCCTCATGGATTTATGTTCGATTTTTTCTTTTTATTGATGTTTATGCTCTCATTTGAATTAAAGCCATTCTGTTTTGCTTTTGTTTTGTTAATTAAGTATGCATTTTTATTGTATATAATTGGTTGCTATACATGGGGTCCTTACAGTTTGCTGGAAAAAAATGACAGATGGTGTCATGGATAAGGTAGTTTTAGGACAAAACTGGGTTACATTAAAAGTTACAATTGGAAATAGGGTTTGGGTTGGTTGTTCATACATAAAATCAGTTTCTTTGTTGTTTGTGTATTCTTAATTTATTAACATTAAGCCTTGCCCTGAGGAAAAAGAGTTTCAATAAATTCCATGTTAAAGTTGCTTAGGTTGTGTGTTTTTTGACCTCTGATATAGACATTTCATTCTGTTTTTGTGTGTGCAGACAGTAACCAGGCTCTCCGTTTGTGCCTGGGGTCCAAGAGCACTGGAGCTGAATTTGGAGCCGTCTCTGCTCTGAGCATCAACCACGATTGCACCCGGCTGCTCTGTGGGTTCGCCAAGGGACAGGTACCTGACCAAATTACATTGATGGTTTTGGATAGGGGACAAAACCCAAGTGAAATTAATTGCATCACATATGTTTGATTTGTGGATTGGTTTTACAGATAACTATGTGGGACCTGGCCAATGGTAAACTGCTGAGAACTATCACTGATGCCCACCCTCCAGGAACTGCCATTCTGCATGTGAAGGTATATAGGGATCTGCTTTGAACTCCAGTGATCTCTTTTAAAGAGCCCATATTAGGCTATTTTCTGATCTATGTTATAATGTTGTTTCCTCATCACAAACAGACCTGGAGTTGCATATTTATTTGTTCACAAATATTTAACACACAAACCCTGCAGATTTAGGCTAAGCTTGTCTCCCAAACCAAAAACAGTCTATTCCACCTTGTGATGTAATGTCATAATACAGGAATTGCTCCACTGTGTTTTGAACTCCATACACCTTCACTAGAATCATTTAGTTAACTTCAGCCCTAGAATTGCAGATCTCCACTGAACAAAATGTCAAAAGTAGCTGTTAACTTGAAAACTACCACTTCATGACATCACAAGGTGAAACAGAGCATTTTGTTTTGAGCTTTAGCGATGTAGACTAACCAACCAGGATTACTCAGACATGTGTGAATGAAACAAAACGCCACTCCAGATACAATGTTGGGGAGTAACAGATTACATGTACCAGAGTTATGTAATCACAGTACAAATTATGAGTAACTGTATTCAGTTACAGTTACTGTTTCAGTGAGTGGTAATTGGATTACAGTTACTTGAAATAAATGGATTATTCTCCTGTTTTCCTGTTTTCGCATTTTGGGCTATATCCCCCCGTTTTTTTTTTTGGTAATTCCACTCATTGCCGGAAACTGAACCAGGTCTAAACTAGATCTAAATTAGATCTAAACCAGGTCTAAACCAGGTCTAAACCAGGACTAAACCAGGACTAAACTAGATCTAAACCAGGTCTAAACCAGGACTAAACCAGGACTAAACCAGGTCTAAACCAGGTCTAAACCAGGTCTAAACCAGGACTAAACCAGGACTAAACCAGGTCTAAACCAGGTCTAAACCAGGTCTAAACCAGGTCTAAACCAGGACTAAACCAGGACTAAACCAGGACTTAACCAGGTCTAAACCAGGTCTAAAACTAGGACTAAACCAGGACTAAACCAGGACTAAACTAGATCTAAAACAGGACTAAAACAGGACAAAAACAGGACTAAACCAGGTCTAAACCATGCTGCGTGGAAGTGTCTCCTCGTCTTCTATCAATAATATTTTTAATACGGTTAAGTAAAGTTTGGGCTTTTTATTTTCTTTTATCAGACAAAACATCTTATGTGAAGATTTCCTTGTCTTTGCTTCTCTACAGCAAATCAAGTAATCCAAAGTATT